CAAGGAATAGATTAGTTCCAAGACTACCGACAAATGAGCACTCGCCCTTAACTAGCCGTGAAGATGATGTATGGATTAGCACTTCCTTTCCAGAGAGAGATGTTTCCATTTGGTTTAGTAGATTAATTTTCAAATTGACCAAAAAAAAATGGTATTCATAATTGATCATTGTTAACCGCATCTATACTCGTATTAAAACAGGACACGAAAGAAATAGGTTTAGTCTAAATTTAATTTTTTATGACGTCTTTCTCTCGTCAAATTATAGGATCTGTGGTCTTTGAGAAAATGTCCTCTCTCCTCCCCTCTGTAGAAACGATAGCGAAAGTCATGAATCATAAACCTCAAACGAACAAAAGTCTTTCAAGACTACGAGCAATCCTTCTTTTTCTGAGAAGTCCGTCGCGCGTTTGAAAAACTGAAATCAGTAAAAAAAAATTGATGTTAGCGCGCCGCGGGAAGCTCTTAGTCGCTCGAGCATGGTATATCACTATATAGTAAGTATTTTGCTCTCTTTCCGTTTTATCTAATTTGTGAAAGGTACTGTTTTAAAAGCGATCCTCAACGATAACTCATCAAATAATTCTCAAAGTTTCCTGCAGTGACAGTTTCCCCGAGACTCAACACCTCGTCAGAAAAATCGCGAGCTTTCTAACGATCCGTATTTAACAAATCTTTTTCATAACTCTTCAATCAATACTCTACTTCATGAGAGTGATGAACCATGCAATTCACCGGCAAACAGCAACCAGTCATAGCTGGCAAACTTTTTGCTATTCGCTTCAAGTCGTTTTCACACCAAAGTGAAAGTAATTTTGCATTTACAGTGGATAAAGGTTTTCTCCGCAATTTTTTTACAGGGTCGACGTAGGAATTGTAGAATAAGTACACTCAGGGTCAATTTTTTTCGTCGTAATGATCAAGGTGAAACTGACTATTGACTCCTAACTGTGAACAACGCCTAATAAACGATGCATCGAATTCTGTGTTAAGTATTTTAATTCGTACGCCAAAGTCAGTGAGACTAATAAGAAATGCTTTTCGTGCTTCCATACGGGAAGCAAGCGCTAAACAACATAGGGTAGCCGATGGTCAACGTGCATCAAGTCAAATGAGTACCTTGACTCAAAGTTCCTGAAAAATATAGTGGCCTATGCGTAGTTGTCCTTACGAGCAAAGGTGATCCATGTTTGTCAATGCATAAGAAGGCAGTTATTCGCTAAAAAAAATACCGCAATGAGGGTTTTTTTTCCGTCAGGTGCAATCCTGAAGAGATGATTAGTGAAGGGATAACAGGACTGAATATTTTGCCAAAACAGTTATGCTACTCCAGCGATAGTCTCCACACCGAAACGTACGGGGGAGGCTCTACCTCGCCCAAATTTTCGTTTGAGGATCTACAGCGCCCCATCCCCCATCCCCCACTCCCCCCCCCCCAAAATCCCGCCCCCTATGTTAAGACGGAAAGCGCATATTTTGATCCATTTCTCCCTGATTCACGCAAGCTGTTTCGGTTTTCTGATACTGACCGCTTTAGACTATTCTTTTAACTCAATCACAAGAGAAACCAAAACGTTTTTAGCGTTCTTCACGCTATGGTTTTCGTTTTTCAGCTTTCACATGGTACTTGAGCTGTTTACAATGACAATCTCTATAGATTTGCTATTCACATAAATACAGAAACTAATAAATATATTTGTTTCTTTGTTAACACAGGAGTGAACAAGTAAGTTTCTAACCGATCAGTCAGGGAAAGGAGCGAGCTAAAGTGACCATCAAGTCACCCTTCATTATGCTTAACAACGGAAACCGCTGGCTCAACTATTCTCTACTGTTTTGATTTCGACCAGAAAATTACTTGTGCTACCTAATTTTCGGACAATTATCTCTTCTACGCTTTTTTCCTTGCTTTTCCATAAATGCTATCCAGTGTGAGTCCAGCGAAAACCAAAAACACACCAAGCCATTGGCGGGTGATAAGCGAATTTCCAAACAAGAGCACTGAGGCGAGGATTGTAAAGAATTTACGAGTTGTGGTGATTATGGAGCAGGTCAGTGGGCCAAAGTTAGCCACAGTCATGAAGATGAAATTCTGTAATGGAAATAAAATCAGAAAAGAAATTTAACATTATTTTATTCATGTAGTATTATTGATAACGTTTGTTAACCCTTAAACTCCCGGGAACTAGCTGTTAATTCTCCCCTCCAGCTGCTACACATTTCCTTGTAAATTAGTTTTGAGAATTTGGTGTTAGATCAAGATGGCAACTTCTACCTGATAAGTTTGAGTATTCTCATCACCTGTTTGTTGGATAATGTATGGATATTACAGAGAGAAGTTACATGTTGATCACTTCTGGGAGTCAAAGGATTAAGGAGGAGACCACAGCACCCATTTGCCTCGCTCACAAGATGAGGCTTCGTGGCTCCATTGGTGGTGGCACCCAAGAAGTGTATGAGAGGCGAGAGGTTTAAGCCCATGCCTTAGTTCTTTTTTCCAGGCTCTTTCCGAAATTTCCTCAACTGAAGTTTACCGCACAGAAAAACTCCTGACTCGTCCCCAGTCTAACGGCGGCAACCGACGCAGGTAGAATGGGAACGTGAAGTGTAATGGGTAGCGTGAAAGCGAGAGAGGTCTCCTCGCCTTCTCCCCTACTTTACCAACGCAAACACTTTGGAAACGACTGAGGACGGTCAAGAAAAATTGGTAACTTATGAAACACACTTTAAAATATGATTCACTTCATATGTTATTTTCTTGCGAGACACTAGCACTACCCTACTGAAGGGCGTTCGTTTTGGGAATACAATGGCGATCATGAAACAAATTCGACCTCCAGGGTAAGTCAAGTATTGCAGGACTCTCTGATTCCCTAACTGAAAACAAACTGGCGTCGGAAAAACTTTCTTAAATCCCTGCACAAAAATTTTGCAAGAACGAACTGCTCTGTTTAAGTTTCATATTAAGTACGAATTCATGAGCTGTTTTTCGGTGTACCTACCGAAGTAGGCTATGACCAGCCCTTCCTTTCCGTCATATTCCGTCACGATTTCTATTGGCTTGCGGGTCGAGATACGCTTTATAGGGAAACCTCGTTGTTTACAACCGTAAACTTCTGGTAAAAAAGAACCCACGATTTTCAAAGGTTTTCAAGTGGAACCGCACGCGAGTTAGTTGGAACGTACGGGCATTTGCATAATATTTTGTGATAAAAATCAAAAATCTAGGTAAAACATGAATCACGAAAAGAATTTCCGAAACATGTGATAAAACAAAGAGAAAACGCCATATGTAGCTCTTACGCAAGCTCAAGTTTGATAAAAGCTCACGTAAATCGAAACACGAGATAAAAACTGAACAGTGAAGCGTTAACGGAACTAAAGATCTTGATTTCAAGGGAAAAAGGTGAATTACCAATAAACAGAGATGCGTCTCACCATATCATGCAAGTGCATATAAATCTTAACTCATGTATGAACGTGTGTGGATAACTATTAAGTCTTGCAAAACATTATTCTATTTAGAATGTGGCATCTTTAGCCCCAACTCTCTTTTCTTCATCGAATTTTTTTTAGCTATTTTGAAAATAGCATTGTGTAATGACCGGACAATAGATTGGTAAACGATAGTTCTAGAGTTTCGCTGATTGCTGGTTAGATAGGGTCAACTAACAGATCAGAATATCAATTCTTTTAAACCGGCCGCCTTACACTCCTTTCCAACAGTTTTTGTTGATTAATTTGTCACTCTTTTTCCTAGTGCACTTGACAGTAGGTCACATATGCCAAGAGAACTTGGAGATTGCTTACCATCAGGAGGTGACTGAGATGCAATTAGACGAGATCACAACTTTTCCAGACAGATTTTCACACAATTTATTTAACTCTAACTATAAATTTCAAGTATGACACCTAATCAAATATAGCACAAAGTGCCGCCAAATCTTTATTTACGTCATAATATTCCTCAGAAATTTCTTTCCGCACTAAACGTTAATTTTCTGCTATTCCTAGCGGCTACAAGTCTAATTTCCCACCATCATCCTTGGGATGCAAACCTATTTTCAACTAAAGCCACTAAATTTATCGCCATTTTATTAACGTAGCATGCTAAATTTCCCGCTATTTCCACCGCGTACAAGTTAGTTTCCCGCCATTATCCTCGCGATGCGAACCAATTTTTCAGCTGAGGTCACCTAGTTTCCCGCCATTTTTTCAACGCAGCATGCCAAATTTCCCGACGCAGGGAAACTATACCAGTTTATTCCCGCTATTTCTCTCCTGCTTCAGAGATAATTTCCTACATATTATTTCCTCAATATCAGACATGATTCCTGCCTTTATTTTCCGCAATCAGACCGAGTTCACGCTATTTTCTGACAATCAGACACAATTTCCCACCTTTCTCTTGCGGCTTCCTGTAAAACTCTCCGCACAACTAATTCAAATGAATACGAAAGGGCTTATCTACATTATCGGAAATAGAATAATTTTTACAGCCCACAAAAAGCATCAAACACAGTTCACCAAGTACCCTCTAAATTCACAATCAACATAGGCGAATTAAAAGTTTTAATAAAATACAGAACGTATCCCCCTCTGTCACAAACACAGACCGAAAACTTGAGTGACTTAAGAACAAAGGGATTCGTCAATATTGTTATTGCAAGAAAAAACTGAATTAAGGTTAATGACAGTCTTGAGGACCACTTGGTTTCCTCCGGCATTTAAACCAACTGTGTTTTATCTTAATGACGTTGGTAGCCCGTCGCGATATATTTCGAAATATTTAGTGGAAAATGAACCTAAACGATTTTATACAATCATACATACAATCGAGAGTTTCATCGACTTCCTAATCGTAACGCAATTTAGCACCAAATTAGATGTCGTATCTGCTTGCGAAAAATTATCTCACCTGCGTAATTCGATTGGTTGCTGCACAGGAAGCAATAACAGTTGCTGGTTATAACAAAAGGCGCTGACAGTAACACATTAAGAAGACAAATTTGCAACACAGCTACCACCACCAGAGTCCTCAACTTGCAAGGGACAGTGAGTCTTCAAAAGCTCGAAAACGCCGTGGTTTTAATCAGATAAAAGCGGAATAAAACTAAAAACCACGTTTTAAAGTCGACAGGTAAGAAAAAAACTATTGCTACGTACTTTATGAAGGAATATCATACTTCATTCGGCGACTTTTCCCACAAGAGCATGCAAAGTCCTCCGAATCGAATTCAAATTCAATTTCTGGGCAACGTTTTCAAAAGTCAGTGGAGAAGTAATATCAAACTGCGCTCGCTTGTTGAAGTTTTCCAAGCTACATACTACGCAAAACAAACAATAAGAAAGTAAAACTTTAATTGCGAAATGTCATATACAGGTACAGATACCAGAAATAGTGAAGGAACGATACTGAAATTCAGTGAATTACGCGATATTCTGCTTGAGGTTACGAAAATAAAAGAAAGCGTCATGTATCGGGAAGTCTTTCATCTCACATAAAAATTCGTCATATCGTAATGATAATCAAAACTGCTCGCCTCGAGCTATAAAACGAGACGCAATTTAAATATTTCTAAAATATCATCACAATAGAATAATACCGGCTGAGAAAAAATGCCTTAAAAGGCACTTGCATCAGAGAGATAACGCGTTAAAGCAGTAATGTGCCAAAAAAAACAACAGTTTTTGACTGAATTTGAGCTTAGAAGAACGATTACTAAGGACCAAAAAAAAAGCCTTTTCAATGACTAAATGGTAAAAAAATGTAGATGTCAAGGCATGGTTAAATAAGTCATTTCCGCACCACAAAAGCAAACGCCATTAAAAAAAAAAGTAAACTTTGCACAGAGGACAAAATTGAAAAATTATTTATTAGGAAATTAACTGCATATCGAAGTGAAATTTATTACCACTAAATGCTCACTTTTATTTTGTTTTTATTTTGCTGCATTATTCTACAGTTTTGACTTTTCGTCGAATGTCATTTCGCGGGTAAACGAAAACGACGTGAAATGCTCTCAGTTGACGAAAAAGTCAATAACATGTAATTGAACTGAACTGTGGAGCTTGGCTAAAGATCAGGCAGAATTTCAAAAGTGTCACGACGAGAAATATTACAGTTATAATCTGTTTGAAACAGAGGCGAACTGTCTCGTTAGCTACCTCCTTTGTGCGCACAAAAAATAGAAAGAAAAAACTAGGAAAAAAATTTTGAATCAAGGGCAAAATGTTAAAAAAGAGCAAACAAATATTTAGTTGCTGGATGAGAGCCCAAAAAGTAAATCCGCCAATTTAAAACGAAGTTCACCATGTACACATGGTATGCAGTTTCTAATTCAATTTCTAAGCTCTAAAGCCGTTCTTCAAAGTAACTACATTAATAAAGAACCTGCAAACCTCATTATTTTTGTCCTACTTTTTAGAAACGACTTTTAAATAAAAGTTTTACAATTTCGGGAAAAATGTAAGAAACCCGGAGACTCCCAAAAAGTTCCGAGGACAATCGTTTACAAGTGCTGTTGTTTCAACAAGTTTACACGTTCCTTGACCTTACCCACATTACAATTATTTTTTCGACAACCGCCAAAGTTCCTTCGATTTAATAACTGCCACAGACTGTTATTGAACATACCGAGTGTGAATTTTATCACTGACAATTTGACACTTCCACCTTAAACCAGACGAACGAAAAATCCCGCAGATGTCAGAAATAAATTTGCGGTGTGCGGTCACGTACACAAAGTGGTCCAAAATGATTGCAGGAAATCCCACCTAAGAGCAATTTTTAGCTAAGTATCGGAATTAATCTGACATCTCATTGGTTTTGCATCACTGTACTCCGTGATTGGTTAAAAATTTGCGCCAATCTTTAAGCCAATACAATTTTTACCAAAAAATCACTCCCGACTTACTCGCGTTTTCCCGCGCTTCAGGCTCGCTTGCTTTGGTTTTAGACTTTGTTTGCACAGCTGAATTTCGTTAGAATTATTCCTTCTTGTGTTGTGTTCTCAGGCAAGACATGATATCCTGACAGTGCCTTTCCCCACCCAGGAGTAAAAATGGGTACCGAAAACTTCGGATGGGGGGGTGGGAAAGAAAACCTGGTGAAATTGTGGAGAAGAGGGGGTTGACCTGTGATGGGACTAGTACCCTACCCAGGGGAGGGGGGAGTTGAAACCGTCTGGGATATGCTTCAAGTGCTATTCTAGTCAGTCTCGAGTGTGACTTGAAACAAAGATAACATCGAAATAAATCGCTCTGAGTCGGCTCCATTAACACAATTTGCTTCCTGTTTCTAGACTACAATAATCTGCCATGAACTGCCATGAACCTGCCGTGAACGTCACGGATACAACGAACAACGAAACAAATCAAGGCGAACTACAAGGTTACATTTCAATACCAAGCTTACTTGGCTGGGCGATATCGTATGCTATTGTAGCAATAGCCATCATCGTCGGAAACTCGCTGACAATCGCAGCATTCAGCACAAACAAAAAGCTCGCCAACGCCCGCACCAACTACTTCTTAGTGAGCCTGGGGATAGCGGATTTTATGGTTGGCGCATGCTCAATACCGATGTACGTAACTGAAATGCTGTTTTATTATCTACGTAAAAACGAGGCCAGAATCCGGTTTAACGAGATTTACCTGCCTATCGACGCGTTTATGGGTTTCGCGTCAATCTTTGCGCTCGTCGCCATAGCGCTGGATCGCGCATACTCTGTGTTCCGCCCTCACAAGCACAAAACTATCACCAAAGCGACTTATTTGATGGAGATCGGCCTGGTCTGGTTCTTAGCGGCTTGCGTTGCTGGGATTCGCGTTCTGAGCAATTTCACCAGCAAAGACCTGCTAAAAACTGTCTTCAACTACGCCGTGCTTGTCTGCGTGTTCACTTCATTGATTTTAATTTCTGTCGCTTACGCTATGATTTGGCACAAGGTTAGGAAGCCTGTGAGCCAAAACCACAGGACAGGCACGAAACAAGAAAAAAAGCTAGCGGTAACGCTGTCCTTAATCACAGTTGTGTTCATCCTCACGTGGGTCCCTTTCTACATTATGAACATTATCATCATGTTCTGCAAAGACTGTTATGTTCTCCAGTTGATTTACTTCGCAAAGTTTTTGCACTACAGCAATTCTTTCGCCAATTTCATCATCTACGTGCTCAAGATTCGAGAATTCCGGAAGACCGTGACGAAACTCTTACGGGGCAAAAGAAAGAAAACCTCTCCAAGTCCACAAAAAAGTAAAACCTTGGTTAATTCTAAGGAAGAACCGATCTCCATGCAAGGCATAAGACTTAGGGGATTCACTCATCCCCTGGAAAATCGTGACCTTGATTTGATAACTGCTCACCAATCAGTGTGAACTTGGCAGGTCTTTACAGCCAATCAGATGCAGCCTACACTATACAAGCTCACTCTTGTTAAATTGTTGTTACTGCTGTTCATTTTCGTTTTTTTTTTAGTCCCATAACCAATCACTTTTCTGAAACCTTTGACCCCTGAGAGCCACTAGTATCGAATTTCTCATCTCTGAATCAAACATTGAGGCCATGAAAATAAAGGAAATGATCACCAACTAAAGAAGCTCTTGATCGTTAAACAAATTCTCTTTGTCAGCACCTTAGGAAATGTATAGAGAACAGTATGGAGAATATGCACACTGAGCGGCCCGAGAATCTGTAATACGTTTGTATTAGAGCAAATTTCAATTGAGTGTATAAAGTAACCCGGGATTGCTCTGGCATCGCTTCAATTCGCTTTGTGATTGGTCAAGAAAATTCGCACCACTTTTTAAACCAATCAGATTCAAAATTGAAACCAATCGCGATTTGGTCACCCGCGTTTTTCCCGCGCTTTAGGCAGTTTGATAGTTTTTATTTTGAGTTCTCATTGGCTCTGAAAGGTCTTTTCCTTTCTTCTGATTGGCCGCTGCGATTGCTTTTGTTTTAGTTTTACGACACACAATCGAAAAGAGCCCTAAAAAGACAGTACCTAATAAGGATTATACTCGTTCTTAAAACTGGTCATACCTGTCCTATAGCACTAGCCAGACTGAATGTGAATATGTGTAGTAGAACGTAAGGATACCGCTGGCAAAATGCAATGAACTGGAAGACTTCACCACTTGTCAAGAGAGCTGTGGACGTAATAAGAAAAGACTTAACGGTGGTTCTTCAAAAATAATAAAACTCAACTGCAACTGCTCAAAGAGTACATCAAGTGCTATCAGTTAAACCAAGGACAAAAAAGGCTGCAGTTTATGATTTCCCTCGAAATATAAGTTGACTCAAAAGTCACTTTTAAAAAATATAAACGCCAAGGAGAAAAAAGTAAAATGTGCGAACTAAAGTTTGCCAAGTCCCAGATCACATCCAAATCGCTTCAAAAATTGCTTTGAAAATGTTTTACAACAGTGTTCTGTATGCTCCAAAATCCTTACGATTGAAATCCACCATCAAAAGGTTAATATAAATATGAACTTTCCACCGCGTTTTGAGATTCCAAACAAGGGGCTACATGAAATTGTTCCCAAATTGTTTTGTCCAGGTGTGTAAAACATTTCACCGTGAAAGCCGCCATTTTGAACAAAAGATTTTGACCTAGCCACATATGAAAACCACGATGCGCACAATGGAGCATACTTCTCCTCTTCAATTGTTCAGTGTTGAACTTGTGTATTTTAAAAAAAAAGCTAGCTTTGCTGTTACTTACTTATCGCCAAGATACCAATTGACCAGAGATTCATGTTAAACATCATATGGTGTGACTGGACATGGTGTTCTGCTCTCATTCTGTCCTGCACTGCACCTGTCAACCCATCACATGTCAGAGATACAAGCTGCAAAAAGAAACAAACTATTAATTTTCAACCACCTAAAATTTAATTCCTCGTGCAAACATTTTACCAGCAAGAGTTGTTAACACATTTTGAAAGCCTGTAATTCATAATGCTTTACTTCAACCCTCTCTCTCTCTTTCTCTCTCTAGCTCACTCGCTTTCAGCTGCTCATTCATCAAACCTTCTTAGCTTTACAACAAAAATGCACAAGTTTTTACTACGCTGGCCAAGACACACATTTGCAGCACTTAATCTTTTTTGAATATACCAGTAGTGTTGAAAGTGAGGTGGCCTGTCCCATAAGCCTGGTGGCTAGCCATGTGTGGTCGTTTGCCAAGCTGCACATTTGCAGCACTTAATCTTTTTTAAATATACTGGTAGTGTCAAAAGTGAGGTGGCCACTCCCATAAGCCTGATGGCTTCTTGGGTCTCCTCATCACGTAGATAAATTTTTTGTACTGATTGAAAGGCAAATAAAATGATGATGATGATGATGATGATGTTTGTATGGTTGTTTCCTATGTTTTCCTTTGAAATTTTGCACACTAAATTAGTGCCCAGCCGGCCAGAATTGATCCCCTCACTCATGCCTACATTTGACCACTGCATTAAATTGCCATCAAGTCTAAATAGCACACCTCATCACCTAAGCAGCCAAGCGTTTACAACCTAAAACAGCTATTGAACCAACTTCCCACCTACCCCCTCCCCCACTCTCTCTTTTCCTCTGTGCTCCCTTCCCACCCTACCCTGAGCCCTAAGTGTTTGACACTACTTACCAAGAGGAGTTCTCCAAATCCAATCCAGCTTCCACTGTCATTTGATACTTGTTTCTTATTCTACAATTAATCACCAATTTGAAAATTTAGTCTTCTTTTGGTAAGTTTTGAACTTGGCCAGAAAAATGTTGAAGATAGTTGTTATAGATATCCAAAAGTCTGAGGCTTGCATCCTCAGATATATTTAAATTCCACTTTTGTGACAAGTTTGTAATATTTTTCTATATTTACAGCTTCTCATCTCACCTCTTTGTACATGAACAGAGCTACTCCACAAACAATAAGAAAAACACATAGGTATTTCAGAAGGGGATATCTTTTCCTTGCTAGAAGAACTCCCAGAATCATAACTGAAAGACAATTAGAAACATATGAATGAAAATGGTTGATTTTAAGCCTGGTGATTTTAGTGAAAGACAATGTTATTCAGTGAATAAAACACCGGTATACTCAAAAGAATGCCCAAATCACATCATTTCCTGAATACCATCATCTTTAACCAAAAAACCAGGGTTAAAATCTAACAATATTCACTAACATCATCAATGCACCCACATCAACATTCCTTTCCTAGCAGTATGCAGGAAGTTTGTCAACATGGACAGCACAGCCTGCCACCCCGCTCCTACAGCTCACTCAATTCACTACTGCTCTATGATTATACCTAAAGCTCCCTGGTAGAGCATCCAAACCACTAACTGGCCTGACTCCAATTGGGAGCATTCAGAAACATGTTTTTGAGTATTCCTGTGTCATTCATCGAATAATGAAGTCTTCAAATTAGAAACAAAACTAGATTAATTTTGTAATAGTGTAGTTTGATCATCCAGACAAGTGTAGTCCTAAGAAGGACTGTTTTCAGTGATGGTGACTGACATTTTGACAACCTGAGTGGAAGTCATCATCAGTGTCAACTGAATAGTTGTTTTCAGTCTTATGTTCTTAGTCCAGTTTGTATGAATTGATTGGTCAGTTTTGTGATGTTATTGGCTATCAGACTCAAGTGGCATAGTTCAGTCATGATTGGTAGGTATAAGGTTAGTTTGTAGCTTTCTTTGATTAAGAATTGTGACAGTTTATCACAAATACAGCCATGAAAAAATGTTTCGACTGGGATCAATTTTAAACTACAACAAAATTCTCCTCTTTCTAAACTGTCATATTTATCCGCAATTAAAAGTTAGTATGTACATCAATTCATTCCTGATCAATGACAATACCTGCTCTAAGTTATCACTCACCTGGAATAGGTTTACATGACTTCCCTAAGACCTTCCAGCAAAACAAAATTATAATTAAGTTTCAGTTCAAGGAAAATAGTAAAAAGAATTATTAGAGTTTATCAGATTCAATTTGAAATATATGGTGACCCTTGCAATCTGGCTATTTCATGCAACACTTTTTACACCAAAGTGAATGTTCTCTCGGCCCATGAAAACTGAGTCATTGAAGCAAAATAACCAATCATATTGCAAGGATTGATCAAGAGGAATTTATACTAACCTGAGTTGGATAGTTCACCCACTGAAGAGCCTTATTGCTGGCCAACATTGCACCAATATAGGTTGTAGCACAGATCCCATACCAGCAGAATGGAGTTGTATCCTTAGCTTCATTTCTGTATGTCAGTTGGATAACTAAACCAGAACAAGAGAAGCATAACTAGTTCACTATCCTCCTGATTATTTTGGTTGCTTAGCATTTTTCTAAACCGGTGAGTCAGACTGATAAATCAATAAGGAGAGTTTTTTTTATTAATCAGAAATTTTTACCTTGTCTGGAAATTCTCTAATAAATAAAGTGATAAAAAAAGGAATTTATCCTCTAGAGTATTAAAAATTTTTCAAGCAAGAAGGTGATAAGAAATAAAGATTTGAAGATATATTTTTTTTACTTAAAAACCACACTTTCCGGACAAAAATTGAAATAAATATTGTTAACAAAGTGAAGAATTGATATTCGATCCCAAGAGTGAAAAGGTTAATGAATCACAGATGCAAAAATATTTGAAGTACACACTCGTTCCTTTGGCAAAAATCACTGCAACTATCTTTCACTTCATGAAACACTGTCAACCTACCTGCTTTAGCAAAAAGTGCATTCACAATGCACTGAACAAAGACCAAGGAGAGAGCATACACAAATTTCTCTTTGTCTTCGCCATAAGATGTTCTTGTTCTGTCCGAGAATATAACACGTATATTGAATTAGGACATGAAAATAAAAGGACAAAACCTTAAACAGGCTATCCTCAGACTTCGAGAAATATTCTAGGCTTGATCACAAATGAACTCATAAGCCTTGGATCCCAGTTCAACAAAAATATCTTACGTAACTTTAAACCACAATTCCCGAGAGTAATCACAATTAGGAAGTCAACCATTGAACATTGGTATAAAACTACGAAATATCATTGTAAAGAGATTAAAAAATACAGACATTGGTTCGTGCGATTGGGAAAATTTAAGAAGAAGGAATACCGCACTGGTTCTTTGATGAGTGAATGGCTATGAAATTCCTAGAAATTAATCAATTTTTTTCAAAAGTAGTTGAAGACTTGCGTGTGAAAGATCGAGGAAAGTTACCTCATAGTTAGGTGACCAATACTCACATTTTCTCTTGTATGATTCCGTAGTAAAAGTACGATATAAATATTCCCAAGAAACACACTATTAATTTCTTTCTATCTGTAACATACGGAGCCATTTTCGATTCAGAAGATAGTGAGTTTCCAGCTTCTACATCGCCAGAAACCATCTGGAGGGTTTTTTCACTACCGGTTTCGAGGAAGCGTGGTTACCTTTCATTGGAGAGCGAAAAAAACACGTGACCGGAAGTAAATCTTGGAAAGCTGTTTCAAAATGGTAAGGGAAGGGAAGGTAGGGGCATTTGCAGCTCGCTTAGGTTGGAGAGCATAAAGAACAAGGTAGATCGATACTTTAAAAAATGAATCTTAGAAAAAAAACTTGATATAAGTAAAGATCAGAGAAAGGGAATGATCTATAATGAATCCTTGTTTTTTCAATCTCTTGTTTACATGTTTCATACAAAAATAAAATAAATTCAAATTTTCATAACACAAAGTTGTGCTTTAAATTTAAAAATGCAAGGCAAAATATTCCTCTCAGATGTACATTTTTACTTTAATAATATTTCTCACAGAATAACAAATACATTTTAATAGTACACCTCTACAAGAAAAAAATACATATTATCATGAAAAATGTAGGAAACAAGCAACTGTTAAGTACAAATTTGATTCAGATATTTTTCATTGTAGAATATTCTTGAGAATCTTGCCTTTTGAAAAGTTCAAAGTTAATATAAATTAACTACTTTCAGACTGATAAAAAACAAAACAGTTGACTCACTGCACATGCAACAGAGCAAGAATTAATTGTTTAGACCCAGAAAACATATTTATATGAGCTACATATATATATGAGCTATCCCCATTGTTTGTTCTCGTAATGATTCAACACATTTCTTATCTTGAGCCTTACAACCAATAAACTTTAGGACTTGTTTTGGGGATGTGT